AACCCTTGGGCTTTTCAGGATGAATAACAAGTGTTGGCTGTCTCCTTTTCCCACTGCTCACAGAAAAGGTAAGGCCACATCAGTGTACCCCTGTGCCTATGGTAGGACTCCCCTTCTGGGAGCCCCACTTCCCAAGTTCTGGGCGCTTATTTATCCCCATCTCCCAATACCGGGTTAGTCATCTGCAGTTTTACTCCACTTCATAGGCAGCAGACACTTCTTTTTTAAAAATCAATCAATCAATCAATCATATATTTGACACCCAAAGATCTTGGTTTATAATACTATTTATTTTATCCTCACCCGAGGACATTTTTGCATTTATCTTCAGAGAGAGCAGGAGGGAGAGAGGGGGGGGAAGAGAGAGAGAGAAACATAGATATGAGAGAGACACATCCAGTGGTTGCCACCCACACAACCCCAACGGGTGCCCTGGACAAACTGCAACCAAGGTACACGCCCATAGCAGGAACCGAACCCGGGACTCTCTGGTCTGCAGGCCGACAGTCCAACCGCTGAGCCAAACCGGTGAGGGTGGTTTGTAATACTATTAACTGAAGAGATGGTGTTCATATGGAAAGATATGGAATCAGATGAGGTAGAGCTTAGAGCACAAGACGATTTCTACTCAAGAGGAGGAGCCCCCAGCAGAATGAGAAAGACAGGTAGAAGAGTAAAGGCAGGGAAAAGCCCCACCTATTAGCTGAACTTTGAGAAAGAATGTTCAGTTTTTAGTGAGTAAAAATGGAAAATGAGCAAAGCCGCCATACTATGTGGGAAGAGTCATGTAAATGGAATTCTCCTTTGTTATTTCTCTGCAAGACTTCAGGATAGATGAAGTATTTCAATATTTTTTAAAGATGTTTTACTGTGGCTTATTTTATGACACCAAAAAGTATTACAGATTTTTTTCCCATTAGAGTAAAAAGAAACAAACCTCCATGGCTATTTCCCACTCACCCTCCTAGCTCCCACTTTCTTTCAGATGGTATTTGGAATACCCCTGGCAAAGTGTTTCAGGGAAAAGGATTATAACCAAGCTCATTGCTGGTTCTTAGCTATAGACCAGCGAAGTGTCAATGTTCTAAATTCCAAGAAAGATGCTTTTATAAAAGGAAAGTCTGTAGGAGTAGGAAGTTCTGGAACTTCTCCTTGTCCCCACATGACCTTCTCAGATCCTTGGGCTAATTCATAATGATTCTGGAAATTTCCGTGGCCTTATTTAGAAAAGCATGCTATTACATAATTAAAGAGTTTTTAAGGACATTTGTCTGCCTTTTTTGTGTGTGTGTATTTAGAAATGTTCTTGGTGTGTGGTTATCAGATTCCAAATGCATCTGAGGTCAGTCCTTGATTATTTGTGGTAGTTAATATTTACAAGAGTTGCTAAGTATACTTCTTAATGATTTTTTGAGGTAAAATTACTATAGTGAAACGCACAGGTCTTGAGTGTACAATTTGGTGAGTCTGGCAAATTAACTCAACACCTCTGTCACCTCACTTCCAGTAAATCCCCACCCACCACAAGCAGCCTGGTTTCTTTCTGTATACTCGTTTGTGTTTGTTTGTTTTTTGAACTTCATGTAAATAAAATAAAACAGTATATAGTATTTTGTATCTATCTTCTTTTGTTCAATATGATGTTTTTGAAAGCTACTATAAATATTTTGTATATCCTTTTATAGATATATGCTTTCATTCCTAGTAGACAAATCACTAGGAGTGGTGTGGCTCATTATAGGGTAGATACATATTTAACTTCATTTTTAAAACTTTCAGTTTTCCAAAGTAATGGTGCTATTTTACACTCTCACCAGTAATGTAAGAGAATTCCAGTAGCTTTACTTCCTCTCCAGCACTGGGTAGCTGTTCTTTTATCCATTTTACCCTTTCTAATGGACTATTTCATGGTGGTTTCCAATTTGCTTTTTTTTTTTTTTGTCTACTGATGTTGAGCACTCTTTCAAGTGCTTATTGATAATCATATATCTTCTTTGGAGAAGTGTCCCTTTAAGTGTTTGATCATTTATTTATTGGGTTACTTGCCCTTTAGTATTAATTTGTAGTTCTTTAGATAATGTGAACATAAGCCTTTTTAATAAAATATATGTGTTGCAAATATTTTCTCCAAGTCTATCTCTATCGTTTATTTTTTTCCATTTTCTTTATGTCTTAGGACGAGTAGAAGTTTTTAGTTTACTTTTCTTTTATGGTTAGTGCTTTTCATGTCCTCTAGGAATTTCCTGACTATATCTAACTTGCAAAGCTATTTTTTATTTTCTTTTAGAAGCATAATAGTTTTAACTTTTATGTTTATAACTACGATGTATAGCTTGCGTGTATAAATATTTAGATAGGTAATAAAATGTATTTTTGTATATGAAGTGTTACATTTGTTTATTCATCTATTCTTTTACTAATACCATAATGTCTTGATTATCATAGATTTATAGTAAGTCTTCAAGTCAGGTAGTGTCAGTCCTCAAACTTTGTTCTTCAATATTGTGTTGGCTATTCTGTGCCTTTTGCTTCTCCATATAAACTTCAGAATCCATTAGTTGACATTCACAAAATAACTGGCTGGGATTTTTATTTGGATTGCATTGATTCTATAGATCAAGTTGGGAAGAACTGACATATTGACAATATTGAATCTTCCTATCTATGAACATGGAATATCTCTCTATTTATTTCATTCCTCTTTGATTTCTTTCATCAGGGTTTTATAGCTTTCCTCATATAGACCTTATATATATATTGTAAGATTTATATCTAAGTTCTTTATTTTTTGGGTGCTAATGTAAATGCTATTGTGTTTTTTATTTCAATTTTCACTGGTTCATTGCTGCTATATAGCCAAGCAACTGACTTTTGTATATTAGCTTTGTACCCTGAAACCCTGCTATAATCACTTATTAGTATAAAGAGGGTTTGTTGTTGTTGTTGTTGTTGTTTTCTGTTCTTTCAGAGTTTCTACATAGTCAATCATGACATTTGCAGATACAGTTTTATTTCTTCCTACCTAATCTGTATACCTATTTTCCCTTTTCTGTTCTATTGCATTAGCTAGGACTTTGAGTACAATGTTGAAAAGTGGTAGTTAATGGGAACATCCTTATCTTGGCCGAGTGGCTCAGTTGGTTGGAGTGTCATCCTATGCACCAAGGAGCTGTGGGTTTGATTCCCATACAGAGCACATGCTTAGGTTGTGGGTTTAATCCCCAGTCAGGGCATGTATGGGAGGCAACCATTCAATGTTTTTTTCTCATGTCGATGTTTCTCTTGCTCTCTCTCCCTCTTCCTTGCTCTCTCAAACCAATAAAAACACATCCTTGAGTGAGGATTTTTTTTTAAAGGAACATCCTTGCTGTGTTCCTCCATTGATTTTTCTGATTATTATGCATATCTTGTTTTAGCAACAGATTTTCCTTCTGATACTTAAAAATTTGGTTGGATTGATGTCTGATAAGTGCCAGTGATTGGTACTGATGATACAAACTGTAGAGAGAGAGATGCCATTTTACAGGAGTTAAGGGATAAAATAAACTTTAGCCTAGGCTCTATATAAATTAGCATTCTCGTCTTCTGGACAGAGGAAAAAGCAGAACTAGCATCTATCTATGCCTATTATGTGCCAGGTGTTCTGCAAGTTACCTTAGTATGTTATGTCATGTAATCTTTAAAACAAATTAGTGAAATAATTATTATAACACCCACTTTACAGAAAACGAAGCTACATTTAAGTACAAATAATAAAGTTATATAGCTAGTAAACTGGTAGAGCTAGAATTTAGAAAACTATCTCTCATCTTTCCACCATGCTGCTTTTCTTGCCTTGTTATGACGACTGTTGTGATTACCGACATTTACTGAGTGCTTATGACACATGTTCCTCTACAATTGTTATCCCAATGAGCCATTCAAATTGCTTTCGTTTAGTCCCTTTTGGTTAGAGGTGGGGCAAATTGTCCACATTCTCCTCACCTTCTATTCTTGGGGGGTACATGGATCGTCCTAAGTCTTGGATGGTAGTAATCTCTAGGATGACAGGACACTGGGCAGAGTGTGTGGGCACAGAGAAGCTTCGTTCTAATCTGAGTGGTTAATAAGCAATTGGCAGGCTGTTCTCTGCCAGCAGTGAGTGGGGCAACCAGCTCAAATTTGGTGCTTGTTCTGGTGGGTGGAGAGGCTGGCAGTGATAGAGGCTCCTGCTTTCTCACCTTTTCCTGTTTCCTGTGATCCTTCATAGCCACTTCTTTTATCCAGTGTGTAGCTTCTTCCTAAAAATCTAGTTTCTTGAAGCAGGAGAACTTATTGCAAGATATGCAATGGAGACATCTTTCTGATGAGACCAATGCCTTTTCCTCCTTAAGAGTTGGATGTTTGGCCACTACATGTAGGGTCTTTAGTAGGAAACGAGTGTCCATTTTTTGGGCTGAGTGAGGGTCAGGTTTTTGCAATAGGAAAAGGAATTTGGAAAATTCACAGATGGGTAGATAGATGAGAAACACACACTTCCTACTAGCCAGACATTGTGTGAAGCACTTTACATTTCTATTTTTTAATGGTACAGAATCATTAATTATAGAAAGTTGGACAATCCTTATTTCCTGAACAGTTTTTATTTCTCACTCACACACATAACTTGTCCCTTAATTAAATTTACATGACTTTCCTCATTTCCTTTGGTCTTCCTCTCTCTACTTGCTCAGCATGAGGCATATTCAGAATAAAACCTCATTTGTTTCTATCCATTTACTTTGAAATATATTGTAGTTGGAAGAGAAATTTGGTTGAAATTAAATTTTGAACTGAGTCTCATACAAGGTTTTCTGAAAGAACAATGGCAACAGCCTTAGTTTCTTTCTAGGAAAAAACGGGGTATGTATAAATTTTTTAAAGAAAATGAAGCAATATGTGATTAAATCACTACATGGTTAAATGTGTGAGTGTCTGACTGGACCCTTCTGAATTCCTAATATGCTTCTTTCCCTTCACAGAGTTTTGTGGTGATGGCCCACCAGATCTCAAATACGCCACATTCAAAGCCCTCGCGTACAAAATGGGCACCCTGTTGAACTGTGAATGCAAGAAAGGCTTCCGCAGAAGCAATGGGTCGGCCTTTATGAATTGTACAGGAACCTCTGGCCACCCTTTCTGGAAAAATCCATGTCAGTGCATAAGGACTTGTAAGTGTCTCCTTTCATTACGACCAAGGGGAAGAGAAGAACCGCAGCAGAGAGTGACACAGAGCTTAAGAGTTTGTTCACTCAGCCCCGTAGACAAAAATTGACCAGTCTGAGCTATATGGTAACTAATTTTACTGGTTTCTCAAATATTCACTTACTAAACAAATATTTAAGGAGTGCCTTCTAGTTCTAAGGACTGGTCTAGGCACACAGGATACCCAGCACTCAAGAAACTCATATTTCAGGGGCAGGGAGGAACTGACATTACACTAATAATTCCTGAACAATTAAAAAATAATTCTAGTTCACAACAATGTGAATGTGCTGAATGCCACTGAACTTTTCACTTAAAGTAACTGACATGATACATGGTATGTTATGTCTATGTTATCACATTTTTAAAAATAAAGAAATTTGGTTGCAGTTTGTCTCCGGCCCCAGTTGGGGTTATGTTGGGGGCAACCAGTCAATGTGTCTCTCTCACATTGATGTTTCTCTCTCTCTCTCTTCCTCCCTCTCTATCTGAATTGTCCTCAGGTGAGGATAAAAAAAAAAAAAAAAGAATAGTCTGAGTGAGCCAATATAAAGAACATAAAAAGCAAGCAATTCTAGTGGGCAATATCTACCTGTAGGGCTAAATTAAGTCGTTTGTGTTCACAAAGCTCACACTCCATACCACCTATATCCTGACTGATGAAATATATTTATCCTAGCTCTACCTCCTAAGAATGCTCCCTGACCCCTCTTCCCCCTCTCCTTTTCAGTGACCACCTCTGCAACCCTAAGGAAAAAGTTCTAGGTACAAAAATGGGAGCAATAGGAGAGGCATTTCCTCCCTGCCAATGGTAAACAGGAAATAGAAGCTAATGCTACTGAACTCTAGAGTCATATATTACTGACATTTTTCACTCTGGGTGCCATGGAGCCTTTTGAGGATTTCTTTGGAGGGAAACAGATATTGTCAAGCAGAAATATATTGTCAGTTTGGGCCTTCTCCAGCCCAGTGACAGGAACTGGCATTCCAGAGCATGAGGAATAGTCCCCAAAGACCCCACATCCCCTTGCTGGGGTCAGAATAATAAGCCCCAAGGCAGGTCGGACTGGTGTGTGGGTAAGGCCCCAAATCAGCATGAGGGAAGCAGAGAGATGGAAGAACCTGTTCACTTAGAATTTCTTTATATCTGAACTTTAAAACATGACTTTAGAGCTCATGGCCCTCAATGCTGGGCATAATTGGAATCATTGGTGAACTAAGAGTCTCCAACCTCAAGGTTGCTGGGGAAGGCAAGAAGAGATGGCAGAACTACTTACCCAGATATTGTAGGCAGATCACTTTCCTGGAATGGAATTGAAGGAGATGATCCCCAAGATGTTTTCTAAACCCAAGTTGATCTCATACTATGATATTGCCATTTAAGTTTCTTCTTTGAATCCTGAAAGTTCTCTTATGAGTCCAATTTCCCTATGAGGTCTTTTATCCAGTCTGTGTTAATAGATTGTGATGAATAGTAATGGGTTTATGTGTCTTTTTATTTATTAATCCTGGAGATGCTGTTGGCGAGCTGCAGTGACTTTTGCCCCACCCGAACCATGTATGCACTGCAAAGCCTAGAGATTGCTTCCCCACAATCTTTTTTGAAGTTCCCCACAATCTTTTTTCCCAGAAGATCCTCTCTCTGACACCAACTTAGAATCCCTCCAAATGGAATGGTGTTTCAAAACACATTTAAAAGTATCTATTTTCAGAAAACTACAGGTTATTGAAAAAAGAAATAGAGGAAGATATAAAAAAGTGGAAGCACATACCTTGTTCATGGATGGGAAGAATTAACATCATTAAAATGTCCATACTACCCAAAGCAATCTATAGATTCAATGCAATCCCCATCAAAATACCAACAACATACTTCACAGAACTAGAACAAATACTTCAGAAATTCATATGGAACCAAAAAAGACCTCAAATAGCCACAGCAATCTTGGAAAAGAAGAACAAAGTAGGAGGGATCACATTACCAGATTTCAGGTTATATTACAAAGCCACTGTAATCAAAACAGCCTGGTACTGGCACAAGAACAGGCATATAGATCAGTGGAACAGAACAGAGAACCCAGAAATGGACCCAAGGCAATATGCTTAATTAATATTTGACAAAGGTGGCAAGAACATACAGTGGAGTAAAGACAGCCTCTTTAATAAATGGTGTTGGGAAAATTGAACAGCTACATGCAAAAAAATGAAATTAGACCATCAACTTACACCACACACAAGAATAAACTCAAAACACATTTAATAGTTTACTTCCACTTCTCCCACGATACCCTCCACTTATTGAAAGATTTCTCAAAAAAGTCAGTGTTTGTTGTCCTTACTCAAAAGATAACTAGCTGGTTCTGGCTAAGTGATATTTCACAGATTGTCTTAATTAGGATGTTTCCATGAAAAGAAGCAAACTCAATTAAAAACTGGGTCAAACAGTTATATATTTTATTGGCTGTAAAATTGTTTACACTAATTCACGCATACATTTGAGACTGAAACATAAGTTCAGTCATGATTTGAAAGGTACCCTTACTCAGCTCCTTTGCCAAACTCTTTACAATTGAGAGGAGGGTTGTAGAGAGGTATTTGGGGGGTTTTGTTTTTTGTTTTTCTCACTAATTCAAGATTGCATCTCTCTAACTTTTAAATGAACTACTTTAGGGAAACAAAACAGTGAGTGGGCGGCTGATTCAGATCATTCCTCATTGTCATAGCACACAGACCCATATAGAATGCTGGCAGGGTTGATGGCCAGCATGGAGTCATTTTGGGGGAAACCCACATAAAAAAATTCCACCAGAAAATATTTCAGTCCTTTCAGAAACATGCTGAAGGCCATTGTCATTACACACATGAATACTGACAGGCTAGTGCTGTCCTGGGCTTGATGTGAACAGGGCCCACTGAGAATACCCTAAGACCATGTGTGGCTCATCTTTGTAACCCTGACACCTTGATATTTCCTGGTATGCCACAAACACTAGTTAGACACTCTTACTGGATAAATGAAGAATGTTAACTATTTTAAACATTTGTGAAATTATTTGCTTTATTCCACTCATATTCTTTAGCTCCCAGAAACATGGAAAAACAAGCTACTCCTAGACCTGAAGAACAGAAGGAAAGAAAAACCACAGAAATGCCAAGCCAAATGCAGCCCACAGACCAACTTAACCTTGTAGGTAAGAGGTGAATCTGAACAACTGTTGTCTGAGTACTAGGAGCCAGCCCTTCTCTTGCAGGTAAATGATGTGCTTCCCAAAGGAAGAAAGTCTCTCCCACTATCCTCTCCTCTAAAGATATCATGTCAACAAGAACAATTGTATAGAATTTGCACACTATTGGCTCAGAATTTCAAGTCATTCTCACAGAAGCCAACCTAAACTCTGGTCTTCTTTCTGGTTTGAGAGCTGGTAGAATAGAATAGAATAGAATAGAATAGAATAGAATAGAATAGAATAGAATAGAATAGAATAGAATAGAATAGAATAGAATAGAATAGAATAGAATAGAATAGAATAGAATAGAATTCCAAAAGCATGTGTTGCTCTGGCTGGTATGGCTCAGTTAGTTGGGCATCATCCTTGTGTACATGCCCGGGTTATGGGCTCAGTCTCCTGTACAGGGTGTGCAGGAGGCAACAGATCAGTGTTCTGCTCTCACACATCGATGTTTCTTTCTCTCCCTTTCCCTCTAAAAATAAAATAAAATAAAAAATTTAAAAAATCAATAAAAATATTTAATATTGCATAACCAATGGACATAGACAACAATGCTGGGGGCGCGGCAGGGTGGGCGAGAGGGGGTCTAGGGGGTAAAAAGGAGAAACATCTGGAACAAAAATAAATTAATAAAAATTGAAGAAGAAGAAAAAAAATGAATGAATACAAAAATAAAAATTAAGTGCACTTAACCATACTGTCATTTTCTCAAATGGAAAGTGCTAAACCAGTCAGTGTGGAAAGAGGGCCGTAGGCTTACACAGAATGTTTTATCAGCAGTTTGCTTCATAAAAAAGTCTGAAATTTAGTTTTCTTAAAAAAAGAAAGAAAAAAATATTTAATAAATTTTAAAAAACAACAACACAAAAAGCATGTGTTGGGACTAAAGGCCAGGCACTGCCAACAGAAGATACAAATATAAGCAGACAATAGTCCCTGCTCTAAGGGAAATACTTTGTTTTTCCCCTAAGTAAAAGATAATGAACTGCCAGCAAAGCAATTTACTTCAAGATATTTCTTTTGATGTGTGTGTGTGTGTGTGTGTGTGTGTGTGTGTGTGTGTCTGTGTGTGTCTGTGTGGGCAAACTGTGCTGGGCCATACTGGAGACTCTCAGAGCTACAGACAAATACCTCCTGGTTAATGGGTTGTGGATTAGTGAGAACCATAACTACCGAGTTGCTATGGCAACTTTCTGCAATGAAATAAAGTCATAACGTCAGGAGGAAATAGAGCCCATTAGGAAAGTCTGAGCTTCTGGGGGACCAGGTGATCTTACAAAACGCTATGGTCCTGTGCTGATTTTATAACCTTACAAAGAACTGGAACTTATTATATATAATCTCACTTGAACCTTACAACCCAGTGAGTCAGAAAGCAGGAGTATTATTTCAACCTACTGAAGAAATTGAGACCTTGAGAAGGTAAAAGACTCGGCTAAACTCACATAATTTAGGAATAAGACCTTGGGTCTTCTGAATTAGACTAAGGATCTTTCTACTGATTACTTATTTTAGACTAGCTTGAATTAATTTATAACTTCCATTATTAAAAAAAAAAAAGGAAGAGTAATCCAGGGGCATTGTTGCAACATGATGTTTTTATCCATTTACCCACCCCCCCAAATGGAATGGTGCTTTAAAACACATTTAATAGTTTTCCTCCACTTCTCCCATAATACCCTCCACTTATTGAAAGATTTCTCAAAAGGTCAATGTTTGTTGTCCTTACTCAAGAAATAACTAGTTGGTTCTGGCTAAGTAATATTTCACAGATTGTTTTAATTAGGATGTTTTCATTACAAGAAACAAACTCAATTAAAAACAGGCTCAAGCAGTTATGGATTTCATTGGCTGTGAAAATTTTTTACACTCATTCACACACGTGTTTGAGATTAAACCATAAGTTCAGTCATGATTTGAAAGGTCTATCCTAGAGCAGACCACTCAGGACAGAACCACGAGGCTTCCAGCTGGGGCAGAAGGCTTCTATAGGGTATTTGAAGATTATATTGTGTACTCGGGTTGTAGAAGGTCTGGAAAGTCAGAGAATATGTGTAGCTTCACATGTCGGAGGAACAGAGGGCATGGAACAGAGGGCATGTGTGGTCTCATATGTCTAGATTGGGGATACAAAGAAACATCTTGAGATTATATCAAAGCAGGATATACTCTTTGAGGTTAAAGGTCATTCAGGCTTGGGTTTTAGTTTGGGAGTGGGAAGTTCCTGGGCATGGGGAATTTTCAGACACCTTGATAGGGCTCACGCAGTGCAAGATTCAGGCATGGCTTGATCAGAGACCAGGCTCCAATTCTCTGAGATTCTCTCCGCTCTTCTCTCCTCATGGCTTTGGCTTTGTCCCCAGTCCTTCTGCCATGGCCCCAAGGTAACCACTAGCTGCAACCCAAAATGTAGCTTTCTCAATCAGAAGTGGAGATACAGGGTGGTTGGTCTTCACTTTTCAGTGACCCAAATTGAGTTGAGCCTGCCCTTATCCCTCAGCTGAGACCACCCTTCCTACTCCTGTCCACGTATCAAAGCCCTCACTGTCATCAGAAGACATTACTCATTCTTCTGTGTTCCCATAGCAAGCGTCTATTCCTTAACTATAATACTCAGCACATTCTGCCTTCATATGTCTTTCTTACCCAATTGACTGATCCCTCCCGCAGGAGTGACTGGGTCTTTGCGCCTTCCCACAAAGTACTTTACAAAGTTCCTGACACATAGATGTTCTCATCACATATTGGTTAAATGAAAGAAGATAAATGAACAAACAAAAGAATAAGAACCAAGGCCCAGTTTCTAGGAAGGGGAAACTTGGATTTATTCACATTGCTTTCCCCAACTTGCTTCTGGAATTCTGCTTCCCTCTTCCAGGTTATTGCAGGGAGCCTCCACCATGGGAACATGAAGCTTCAGAGAGAATTTACCATTTCGTGGTGGGGCAGAAAGTTCACTATGAGTGCGCCCAGGGATTCAGGGCCCTACAGAGAGGTCCTGCCACGAGCACCTGCAGAACGAGCAGTGGGAAGATCATGTGGACACAGCCCCAGCTCAAGTGCATAAATGAAAGTAAGAACAATCAGTGTCTAGGTGTGGTGGCACCTTTTTGAGTTCACCTCTTCACTTTTTCCATCAGGCCGAGCAGGGTGGAATGCCTAACCCACCAGCTATGTGACCTTGGGCAAGCCACTTAATCTCCTTGGGCCTCTATTGTTTCTCATTCTATAGAAAAGATTAGATAAACTCTAAGGTCTCTAACACTTCAGGTCCCCTGTACCCTGAGTGGGGATAAGTAGTAGGAGACGGAAGAGGAGAAAATATATTCTGAGTGTTCCAAAGCCCCCAGATCACTCACTAGTGATCCTGCTTCCCCTTTCCTAGCTGATCCTGAAATTTCACGTCTTCTAAGCTACCAAGACGTTCTTTCATTCAAAAGGGAAAGTCCAGCCTGCAACCCACTCATTTCTATTTTACTAATCTATAATGTAAATCCATTATTTATACAGTGCTACATGGTTGACATGCAACTTCTCCTTGTATAATTCCCACCTGAGCTTTAATAAAAATGCAAATATACAGAGAAGGGACTTATTCAAGCATAAACATGCACACACACACACACACACATTCATAATATACACCACCCACCTACGCTGAGGTCTGCTATTTTCATTCTGAAATCATATTATTATTTCTACAATCTAAAGTCACCTACACTGCCCTGGCCAGGTGGCTCAGTTGGTTGGAGTGCTGTCCTGTATACCAAAATGTTGTGGGTTTACTTAGGGTGCAGGTTCAGTACCTGGTTAGGGCAAATATGGGAGGCCACTGATTGATGTTTCTCTATCACATTGATGTTTCTCTCTCTCTCTCTCTCTCTGGATATGCATAAAAACATATGCATAAAAAGATATCCTCAGGTGAGGATAAAATATATAGATAGTCACATATAAGAGTGGGTCTCTTTGCTCACCACCCTTTCCCATATCCCATGTCTTCCTCTTGGATTTTTGGGAGTTTTATGGTTTTTTCCCATAGCCTGTCTCCAGTGAGCTGCACTGCTGGCCATGGCATGTCCTTGGTTTCCTTTGTAAAAGGATGACAAGATGCGGCAGTGTCCTGGGTAACTGACAGACCCACGCTGAATGGGGAACCTGTCACAGAGAAAAGCTATCCTTTAGTGCCTTTCTAGTTGTTCGATGGTTCAGTGGTATTTTTATTGTCATGACCTGTTTCCAAGCCACAGATGGAAACCAGGGCTGAGTAGAAAGCCTAGGAAGAAAGAGTTCCTCATCGTTCTATGCAAAACCAGAATCAGAATTAGAATTCCCTTTCACTGGGCTCTGCTGGGGACACTTACCTACCTCCCTGTGACTCTGATGTAGAGCCATGTGACATGGCACCCACAGAAAACATGTCCAGAACTGAGAGTCACACCTTGGCTAGTGTGTCTGGAGTCAGCTGAGGAGGGCGGGTGGTTCAGTTCCATGAACATCACTTACTCTCTTTTCCAGGTGATAAAGAGTCTCAAGCAAGCACAGATAGTCCTGGGAATGAAGTTTCCTATCCCTTAATAACGACAGATACTACTACAGGTATGGCTCGAGTTTGTTTTTATGAAGATAAAAGCTTGGGCATTTAATCATCATGGGAGAAAGGGAAGACAGTTTGCCTGGAGCAGTCCTGCCAGCAGATGGATCAGAGCTGCCCCGTGGATGTTAAAGATGATCAGGCATCTGCATCTGACCTCCCAATCCTCAAATGCTGAAAAGCAAGTGTCAGAAAGAGGAGAAACCCAACTGAAGGCGGTGTCTTGAGGCAGAAGAATGAAATGCTTATGCATGACCTCCCCTTGTTTTTTCCATCTGGGAGAAGCCTAGCACTCTCCAGACTGTGTCGTCTGATAATTGCCTACACAGAGCATCTTCCTTTCTCTCTTTTGCACAGATTTTAAAAAACATACAGATGTGGCTACAACTACAGAGATGTTCATATTTACCACCGAGTACCAGATAGCAGGTGGGTAAGAGTTGCTTCTGTTATTGACAAAATGTACCCCAGACAGAGACTGTAGGGTGTGTTGCTTGGTGGGTGGGTTGGTTACTTGTTTAAAATGATCCCCTATTTACACTATATGTTTATAAGAGTAAAAGCTTAACCCAGAAATTAACGTAACCTGAAATCACAGTAATCACTTACAGTAAGTTGTCAATGAAGTCTCAAACCAGCCCCAATCATCCTGAATGGATCCTAAATGAGAAAATACCCCATGTTTATATGTGAAGGGTGAGAAGAAGGAGGAGGGAGGAGGTATAAACAAAAAATTAAAACAAAAAACATTCCTTAAACAGTACAGTTATTTCCTAGTAGGAGGGAAAACACATGCTTTGCGGCAAGAAAAAAATAAAAATAAAAACAAGCTCATAGAAAGAGAGTAGAATAGTGATCACCAGGGGCTGAGGCTGGGCAAACAGGTAGATGGTGGTCAGGGGACACAAACTTGCAGTGAGAAGATACGTCCTGGGGATGCAATGTACAGCGTGGTGATCATAGTTAACAATACCACATTGTGTCTTCGAAAGCTGCTAAAAGACTACACGTTACATGTTCTCACCACAAAAAGGAAATGGTAGGTGTTAGCTGATGCCATGGTGGTAATCATATGGCAATATGTAAGTGTATTAAATCAACACATTGTACACCTTAAACTCACATAATGTATATGTCAATTATATCTCAATAAATCTGGGGCGGGGAGGGGGGAGAAGAAAGCAAGCTTTGAGGCACATCTAAGATATATAGATAGATAGGAGGTATATAGGTAGATAAATAAATACAGAGATAGATAGGTAGCACTCCAGTACTATTTTGGAAATATGAACCCTTTCAAGAGACGCTAAAGTGTTTATCATTTATCTTTATGTTTCCATATTTCTTTTACCCATCACAGGCCTCACTCAAGGCCTCTGTAACTGAGGCCTGGCCTCTGAGCCTTTCTTAAGAGAGTGTCTGTCCATTCGATCTCACCTGAAGGCCTTTGAGAACAGGTGCCATGGCACCTCACCCAGTCCTAGAGCACCCCATGGAACCCCATCAGGGGAGGGAGCTGCATTCTGGGAGGGGAAATCAGAAACTGCAGAGCCCACCTCTTCAGGAGAACCTTGACCTCGGGCCGAGGGGAGAGGGGTGATTTTCTCAGCCTGCTGTGTGACCTAGCCCAGGACATACCTTTGCTGAACTGCCTTTCTGTTGACAGTGGTTGCCTGCGTTCTCCTGCTGATCGGTATCCTCCTTCTGAGTGTGCTTACCTGGCAGTGGACATGGTGAGTCCCATATTAAGAAAGCCCAAGTTATCAGTAAAGCCAGAGTTGGAGAAGCTTCAGGGCAGCCTACCCCACCCTCCTACTACCCACCAGCAATTTGGGAAACAGTAGAGGGAGAATTGGCCAATGTACGCACTCCCAAAGAGTCAATCAACAAGAATTAAAGTCACAAGGAACTGAAAGAGCAAAGGAAACTAACATTTGTTGAGTGTCACTGTATACAAGTTTCATTGCTTGTCTAATAAACATCACAACCTGCCTTCTGATAGCTATATCTTAGACAGATTAAGTACAGTAAACAAGATTGTACAGCAGAGGTCCAAACTGCAACTTGAAAGAAAGCCCAAGACCTTTCTGTGTCATCAACTGGCTGGAAGGAAGCTAGGTCAGCCCTGAGCTTCTCCTCTCCTGTGCTCCCCACTCTGTCTCCTGCAGACACTCACACCCGAGCCCCCTTCTCCAGGAGCACTGTGTAGCCTTATTTGCACTAACAGATTCTCAATTTTGGCTGTGGATTAGAACAACCAGGAGATATTTTTTAATATGATTTTCAAAAATTGATTCTAGGGAGAGAGAGAGAGAAACATTGATGTGAGAGACATTGATCAGTTGCCTCCCGCATGTGCCCCAACTGGGGATCTAACCTGCTATCTTTTGGTGCATGGGATGCTGCTCCAACCAACTGAGGCACACCATCTAGGTTTCAATTGAGATAAAATGCATTAGTTAAACCATTTACAAGTGCATAACTCAATGGTTTTTAGCAATGTTGTTTATACACAACCACTATCTAATTATACATTACAACATTTCTATGATCCAAAATAGAAACGTAAACTTTCCAATATCCCCCATTCCCTGGCAACCACTAATCTACTTTCTATCTCTGTAGATTTATCTGTTCTGCACATTTCATATAAATGAAATCATACAATATACAACCTTGTGCAACTAGGAAATAACTACTTTTTTTTTTTTTTTTGATATTTTGTTCAGATAGAGTGGGGGGGAGAGAGAGAGAGAGAGAGAAAGAGAGAGAGAGAGAGAAACATCGACGTGAAAGGGACACATCATTTGGTTGCCACTCTCACAACCCAACCAGGGCCAGGGACAAACTGCAACTGAGGTATGTGCCCATAGTGGGAACTGAACCCTGGTCTCTCTGGACCGCAGGCCGACGCTCTAACCACTGAGCCAAACCGACCAGGGTGGAAATAACTACTTTTTAAAAACCCCTCAGATGCATCAAATACATACGCATTCAATTTTGTCAACTCTGCACTAAACCAGTGGTTCTCAAACTTGAGTGGGCATCAGAATCTCCTGGTGGACTTGTTCAAACAGACTGCGGGCCCCACCACCAAAGTTTCTGACTCAGCAGGTCTGCGATGGGGCCTGTAAGTGTATAGTTCTAACAAAGCCCCAGGTGATACTCATACTTCTGCTCCAGGAACCAAACTTTGAGAACCACTGCATAAGCATGAGCCTAACAGTACTAAGAATCAAGAGAGTGAAATCACTTCTCTCTCTCATACACACACACACGTACACTCACACTCACACACATAGTGAGAGAGAAATAGCCAGCTTCTTCCTCCCTTTAGACAATAGACTATAGAGACCTATTATGTCACTCTTTTGACGACCCAGGGTATCAGTACCTACATACCAGAGTTCACTCTAGCCAACCCTAATATAAACTCCCCAGTAACACCCTGAGAAGATATTTGTTAGATCCTCTCTTTCCTTCAGTGAAAAGACTTACCATCTCTCAAGGACCTTTTCATTTTGGTAGCTTAAAGACCAAAAGCCTTCAGACATGAAGGGATGAAGCTATTTGGGAGTGGTAATGGTTTTGAAATTTATGTTGTGAAACAAAGAACAGCCTGAAATGCTGACACCTCACAAGCTCTTCCAGAATTAGTCTTCCAGGAGACTCAAACTGACCCCTCTGTGAGAGATCAGTCCAAAAATCCTTCCTAAGAAAAATAGAACCACACTAAACAAAAATGGCAATAAATAAGTACATACCAATTATCACCTTAAATGTGAATGGTTTAAATGCTCCGATAAAAAGACCCAGAGTAGCTAACTGCATAAGAAAGCATGACTCATCCATATGTTGTTTACAAGAAACCCACCTCACAACAAAAGACTCATATAGATTGAAAGTGAGGGGATGGAAAAAAAATCTTTCAAGCAAAAAAAAACCTGGGGTAGCAATACTCATATCTGATAAAGAAGATATCAAAATGAAGGCCATGACTTGAGACAAAGAAGGCCACTACATAATATTGAAAGGATCTATCCAACAGGAAGATATAACCTTGGTAAACATATATGCACCCAATGTAGGAGCACCAACATTTCTTAAAAATATTTTGGAGGACTTCAAAGGAGAAATCAACAGCAATACAATCATAGCAGGGGACTTCAATACCCCACTGACATCACTTGATAGATTTTCTAGACAAAAAATTAACAAGAAAAAACAGACTCTAAATGAAGTGCTAGATTAAATGGATTTAATAGATATCTACAGAGGATTACACTCCAAAACTACGGAATTCACATTCTTCTCAAGTGCACATGGGACATTCTCAAAGATAGACCACATGTTAGGGTGCAAACTAAGTCTCTACAAGTTGAAGAAGGTTGGAATCATATCAAACATCTTCTCAGATCATAATGGCATGAAACTAAAAATCAATTGCAACAAGAACATGCAAAGACATTTGAAAACATAGAGGCTAACTAGCATGTTATTGAACAATAAGTAGGTTACCATGGAGATCAAGGAAGAAATTAAAAACTTCCTGGAAACCAATGAAAATGAACACACAACAACACAAAATCTATGGGATGCAATGAAAGCAGTTCTGAGTGGGAAGTTCATAGCACTACAGGCCTACCTCAGGAAACAAGAACATTTCTAATAGACTATCTAACCTCACAACTTAAAGAATTAAAAAGCAAACAGAAAGAAAACCCCAGAGCAAGTAGAAGGAAGGAAATAGTAAAGATCAGAGCAGAAATAAATGACATGGAGACCAAAAAAGAAAAAAACAATTCAAAGGATCAATGAAACAAACAGCTGATTCTTTGAAAAGATAAACAAGATTGATGGACCCTTAGCTAGACCCACCAAGAAACAAAGAGAAAGAACCCAAATACACAAAATCTGAAATGAAGGAGGAGTAATAATAACTGACACCACAGAAATACAAAGGATTGTTAACAGATATTATGAACAATCATACGGCAACAAATTCAACAATCTAAGCAAAATGGGCAAATTTCTAAAAACACATAGTCTCCCAAAACTGAACCAGGAAGAGATAGAAAACTTGAACAGACCAATAACAACAAAAGAAATTGAAGATGTAACCAAGACTCTCCCAGCAAAAAAAGCCCAGGCCTGGACAGCTTCATGGGGGAATTTTACCAAACATTCCAAGACTCTTCCAGCAAACAAAAGCCCAGGCCTGGACGGCTTCATGGGGGAATTTTACCGAACATTCAAAGAAGAACTAATACCCATTCTCCTCAAACTATTGCGAAAAATTCAACAAGAAGGAAAACTTCCAAACTTGTTCTATGAGGCCAGCATAATTCTAATTTCAAAACCAGAAAAAGACACTACAAAGAAAGAAAACTACAGACCAATATCCCTGATGAACACAGATGCCAAAATCCTGAACAAAATACTAGCAAATCGAATCCAGCAATACATCAAAAAAATTATTCACCATGACCAACTGGGATTCATCCCAGCAATACAAGGCTGGTACAATATTCGCAAGTCAATAAATGTGATACACCAGATAAACAAAATGAAAGATAAAAATCATATGATCATATCAATAGACGCTGAAAAAGCATTTGACAAAATCCAGCACCCATTTCTGATAAAAAAGCTCACCAATCTGGGAATAGAGGGATCATATCTTGACATAATAAAGGCCATATATGAAAGCCCTACAGCCAACATTATACTCAATGGGCAAAAATTAAAAGCATTTCCCTTAAGAACAGGAACAAGACAAGGATGCCCACTTTCACCACTCTTATTTAACATAGTACTGGAAGTCTTAGCCACAGCAATCAGAAAGGAAGAAAAAATAAAAGAGATCCAAATTGGAAAGGAGGAAGTGAAACTGTCATTATTTGCAGATGACATGATACTATGCATAGCAAACCCCAGAGACTCCATCAAAAATTTACTAGACTTAATAAATGAATTTGGCAAAGTAGCAGGATACAAAATTAATGTCAAGAAATTGATGGCATTCTTATATACCAATGATGAACTCACAGAAAGAGAAACTGAAAAAACAATCCCATTTACCATCGCTCCAAAAAAATTACGATACCTATGAATAAACTTAACCAAAGAAATAAAGGACCTATTCACAGAAAACTACAAGTCATTGAAAAAATAAATAGAGGAAGATATAAAAAAGTGGAAGCACATACCTTGTTCATAGATGGGAAGAATTAACATCATTAAAATGTCCATATTACCCAAAGCAATTTATAGATTCAATGCAATCCCCATCAAAATACCAACAACATACTTCACAGAACTAGAACAAATACTTCAGAAATTCATATGGAACCAAAAAAGACCTCAAATAGCCACAGCAATCTTGAAAAAGAAGAACAAAGTAGGAGGGATCACATTACCAGATTTCAGGTTATACTGCAAAGCCACTGTAATCAAAACAGCCTGCTACTGGCACAAGAACAGGCATATAGACCAGTGGAACAGAACAGAGAACCCAGAAATGGACCCAAGGCAATATGCTCAATTAATATTTGACAAAGGTGGCAAGAACATACAGTGGAGTAAAGACAGCCTCTTTAATAAAAGGTGTTGGGAAAATTGGACAGCTACATGCAAAAAATGAAACTAGACCATCAACTTATACCATACACAAGAATAAACTCAAAATGAATAAAAGACTCAATGTGACTGATGAATCCATAAAAATCCTACAAGAAAATGTAGGCAACAAAATTTCAGACATTATACGCAGCAGAATTTTCACTGATACATCACCAAAGGCATTAAAAACAAAGGAGAAAATGAACACATGGGACTACATCAAACTCAAAAGCTTCTGCACAGCAAAAGATACAACCATCAAAATGGAAAGGCAACCCACTGTATGGGAGAGCATAATCGCCAATGATATATCAGATAAGGGGTTAATTTCCAATATATATAGAGTGCTCATACAACTCAACAAAAGGAAGACAAAGAACCCAATTAAAACATGGGCAGAGGAACTAAATAGACACCTCTCCAAACAGGACATACAATGGCTAAGAGATTTATGAAGAAATGCTCAACATCACTAATCATCAGAGAGATGCAAATTAAAACAACAATGAGGTATCACCTCACACCTGTCAGAATGGCCACCATCAACAAATCATCAAACAACAAGTGTTGGTGAGAGTGTAGAGAACAGGAGACTAGTACACTGCTGGTGAAAATGCAGACTGATGCAGCCACTATGGAAAACAATATGGTGTTACCTCAAAAAATTAAAAATTGAACTTCCATTTGACCCAGTGATTCCACTTCTAGGAATATACCCTAAGAAGCCTGAAACACCAATCAGAAAGAATATATGTAGCCCTATGTTCGTAGCAACACTATTCACAATAGCTAAGATCTGGAAACAGCCCAAATGTCCATCAGTAGACAAATAGATAAAAAAGTAGTGGTACATATACACAATGGAGTACTATGCAGCTGTAAGAAAGAAAGAAAGATCTCTTATCCTTTGAGACGACATGGAGGGACCTGGAAAGTATTATCCTAAGCGAAACAAGCCAAGCAGAAAAAGACAAATACCACATGATCTCACTTATTTGTGGAATGTAATGATCATAACAATCTGAGGAATAGGGTAGACCCAGAGACCTGGAAGTAGGGTACAGACTGACAACCCTCAGGAGAGCGGGTAGTAGGGAGAGGGAAAAGATAAACCACAGAACTTATATGCATGTACGCGTAACCAATGGACATGGACAACAAAGCTGGGGACAGGGCGAGGAGTGGGGGGGGGGATCAGTGGGGGAAAAAGGAGAAACATTTGTAACAAAAATTAATTAATTAATTACTTAAAAAAACAAAAGAAAACAAAAATCCTTCCTAAAATCAAATTTCATCTGATAATGCCCTCTTATGGCCAAACAGAATCCTACATTTGATTTTTTCTCTCCCAGCAATTACTAGGAACTAGTGATGAGCCAGAGAGCTGGCTACACTGGCTCCTGAGAGCCAAAGTCAAATGTTCAGGAATTTTGCAAATTATTTTGAAGCATAGCCACTATGAAAAATTAAAGTAGTGAACTTATATTTAAATAAATTATATTAAACACAAAATTAAATACTCAAAATTAACTAATTTTTAAATTATTTTACTACATTTTACTACCTTCTTTGTTCTCGGCGTTACTTACATATGTTGCATCTATATTGAGAAGACACTATATAATGGTTTGCTACTACACATCTCTTTCCAACTCTATATTCAGTGATATCACTGCTCCAGGAACCTAGGCATGGTGGGAGTATTTACACCATGGAAATAGGCAAACTTTTTTAGAGAGGTGGTTGTCAAACATTTACCAGCTTACCACTTGCCCCTGGAAGCTTTGAGCAAGGTAGAAGGCAACCAACTGGGCTAAATAAAAACTGGGGACAGTAAGGACTATACTATTCAATATGGTAGCCACTAGTCACATGTGGATATTTAAGTAAATTGAAAATTCAGTTCATTAGTCACACTAGCCACATTTATATTTCCATCATCTCAGAAAGTTCTTATAACACACTGCTGGCTAGGAACTAAAAGTTTTCATTAATGAAAATCACTTAGCACAGTTAGTTGCTATTATTATTTATTCCTTTTGTGCAACTATTGTCCTCCATATAGTTAAAAAAATTGTACAGAGTATCTCCTATGTAGATGTTGGTCAAAGCATACAAACTTCATTAGTAGATGATTAAGTTCTAGGGATCTAATACACAGCATTGTGATTATAGTCAACAATACTGTATTATATTCTTCAAAGTTGCTAAGAGACTATATCTTAAATATTCTCACCATAAAAAAGCAATGATTATTATGTGACACAATGGAGGTGTTAGCTGATGCTATGGTGGTAATCATATTGCAATATATAAACGGATCAAATCAACATGTTTACACCTTGAACTCACACAGTTTATATATCAATTATATCTCAAAAAAACTATTACAAGAATATCTGAATTTTATTAACCAATGTAATCCCAATAAACTCAATAAAAATATATAGGGGTGGGCAAAAGTAGGTTAAATTACCAGTCATCATTACCTAAAAGATATATCATAAGTAAGAATACAAAATAATAACAACAATAATAAGACAAATAGCACAAATAAATAATATAATAATTAATACATAAATAATAAAAAATAACTGTTTCATATACTCACAACTGTAAACCTCCTTTTGCTCACCCCTGTATATGTATGAAAAAATATATATATCTGCCATGTGTCAGTCACTTGTCAGGGGTCCAAAGATAAATACAAATGGCCTCTGTTCTCAGGAGCTTACAGACTAGTACAGGAGAAGGGGAAAAAATAGAGACTTCAAATATAATTTGTTAAAGCCTAAGATTGAGGTGTTATAGGAGAAAAAAAAGGACACTTAACCCCACATGGGGGTGCCAAGAAGACTTTTAGAGTTGAAGGTGCCTAAGATGGTTGAGGCCAGATTTTTTTTTTTATCCTCACCCAAGGACATTTTTGCATTTATGTTCAGATAGAGCGGGAGGGAAACAGGGAGGAAGAGAGAGAGAGAGAGAAACATCGATGTGAGAGAGATACATGGAGTGGTTGCCACCCACATCACCCCAACCGGGACCGCGGACAAACTGCAACCGAGGTATGTGCCCTTAGCAGGAACTGAACCCAGGAATCTCTAGTCTGCGGGCCGACACTCTAACCCCTGAGCCAAACCAGCCAGGGCCTGAGGCCAGATTTTAAAGTCAGGAGATAGCTGCTGGGCAGAGGGAGCGTGGGGAGAGGGAACACAGTGAGTGGGAGCATAATAATGTTTGGGAGAAGCCACGCAGTTCTGAACACAGAGTGCATGGGGCAGGGGTGACAGCAATGCTCTGGGGATGGACAGTGACCAGGTCATGGAAGATCAGGCCAGACTAAGGTGCTTAGACCCCATCCTGAGAGCAATACAGAGCACCGCAGCTTTACTTATGGGAAAAATGGTTGCATTGGCTACAATAGAGGCTAGATTTAAGGTCGGTAATAGTGGTAGCAGTTTGATTATGCTATGATGGAGTAAATCCCCATAGAGGACGATGACAGCATGAACTAGGTCAGTGGGATAACTTAAAAAGGAGCAAGAGAATCAAGTCAGATATAAAGGAGGTCAAGATAGCTGGTTGGAAGTGAGTGTTAAGGAAGAGGGATGACCCAGGGGTAAGTCCAGGTTTCAGAGTGTGACAGCAGGACCCAGTAGTCACTATACACTGAGATGAAATGTAAAGTGAGGATCTAGAGAAGCATATCCCTTGGGGATTAACCCCAAAGGAGAGCCCATTCTGTAGTCCATGACCTGGGACACGCTTGGCCTCCATACCTATAACTGTCTAGTCCTGGAACTGACAGGGAAGTGGAAAGGCTTTCTTGGGCTCTTTCTCAGATTGACTCACAACACAATGATTGAATTTTCATGCTGTAAGAACCACAGGGCAGTCTCGGCAGGATGGAGAAGCCTTAAAGTCAGATTTCATCATGTAGGAAAGTAATAGTATTCTGGGGTGGAATTTAAAGTTAACACGTCAATGTGTGCTTGGTTGAATATTCTATCCACATTAGTTTAGGGTGGAACTACATTTTTCTTTGTGCAGTAGTACATCAATAACTATGACTTCATTATATCACTACAGGAGGAAGAATAGAAGAACAATCTAGAAAGCCAGAGTGGTAAGAAGCTGAGCCCCGCCCACAGAAGTCATGAAGCACAAGCAAAATCAAAGAGGTTAAACACTCACCCAAGCTGCATCTCCCATGATCCCTTGGGTTTTAAAAACTCTGAAATCACATCACAGAACAACAGGAAACTGCAACCCCATCACGAAACCAGCTCTGAAGTATCAATGAGTGAGCTCAACCTGCTTCTAAGTACATTATTGAAAGAACAAGGAGGAATAACTAGAATTCTCTTTCTTATTTTCATGTATATGTAAAGCTTGATGGGCAAGGAATTCTCTCCACATCCTACATAGTATAAAGAAAAGAGTTTAATGTTAATTTCATCCCAACTGCCCAGTTTAGACATCCCAAGAAAAACCCCAGCACTAATGTAAATAGACACACACACACTCTCTCTAGCCTATGTAATAGGACCTTGTTCCTTGATCCATGTAGATCCTTTGCCAGCCCCTGGTTGACTAGCCCATTCTGCTGGTCACATTCCTTAATGAACACCCTCTAAGAACTCTGGACTGGTAACTTGAATGCATCTTTTTGTCCTTAGGGTCAGTCCTCTGAACAAGCCCTCCTCCACTGAATCTTCAATTTTGAATTTCAAAAGAACAGAGGCCATGGCAGAATTATCTTTGGGTAACACCAAAACAGGCAATCAAACCCTTGGAATTGTAGAATTTCAATATTTGAAAGGATTTTACTAGAGTTCATATTGAGAAAAGAAGGATAAACTAGGTCCCAGGTAATGAATTATACCTGTTAAAAAGTGTCACCTATACATTACTAATAGGTTTCTTTAAGATTTAGTTTCTTTGGGGTTGCTATAAATGATAGTCTGAATTTGTCCTACAAGAATTTGATGATTGTAGATAGAAACATGATATGTAAATGTGTCTGTTTCCTATAAGTGTCATAAAAACACCAATAAGTGATGGATATATTCAATGTTTATGAAAAGAATGAAGAAGGAAGTGAGGAATGGGGAGGGGGATCATACAGATAGGAGGTAACTACAGAAACGGTCATACCAGTGGTCCTCAAACTGTTAGTAATTCAGAATCACCTGGAGGCCTTGTTGAAACACAGAAGGCTGGGCCTATCTCCAGAGTTTCAGAGCCAACAGGTCTGGATTGGGCCTGAAAATGTACCAGGTGGTGCTAATGATTCTGGTCTAGGTACCACACTTTGAGAACTGGATTATACCTCTCCATGCCCACTGATCTTCAATGTCTACTGGAAAAATCAGCTTCAGGTGTGGGGATTTCAGTGAACGTTCTTGTATAGCCTTTTTTATAAGGGCTCAAGTCTATAATCAGCTGACACAGATGTCCCCATTGGACAAAATCACAGGACTAAGGTGATTAATGAAAAGTTTAAACGTGCAGCATTTTCATTTCTGAAAGGGCAGGAAAGTGTTATGAAAAATATGGGCAGGTGTCAGCAGGTCCACATCCAGATTAAAGAACCATTTTCTGCCCTTCCTGTGACCAACCAAGTGCCATACAGATTCCATTGTCAATATCCCCCCATCACCACCCCAAATTTGTGTTTTTTGGTTAAACTAAAGTTGAGAGAAATCTCAAACAATGTTTTTTATCTTACTTGAGTAAAATTGAATTGAATTATCATTACTCATTTTGGGTGAGGGAGGACTATGAGATAATTTTTTTTTTCATAATGATTAAGATGTTTATTTACCTTTTTCACTTTCATTCTCTTACAAGTGTATGGTGAAGTTTTCTAGAAGCTACATGATATGTGATCATGTCATCACTCTGATGTTAACATACAATGAGTTTACTACTATTGCTTATGAAGGAATTAATAAATAAAGTTTTTAAATTTCTTGGTTTTAGTGTCTACATATGGTAAGTATCACTAGATGTAACTATATAAACAAAAGCTTTTTGGAATCCTCAACACTTTTTAATAACACACAGAGGTTTTGGCAAATAGCTAACAAGCACATCATCATTGGGCATTTCAGAAATGCATATCAAAAACCACAATGAGATGCCATGTCATACACACTAAGATGACTTGAAGCAGAAGCAGAAGCAGAAGCAGAAGCAGAAGAAGAAGAAGAAGAAGAAGAAGAAGAAGAAAGGAAAGAAGGGAGGGAGGGAGAAAAGGAAGCAAGGAATGTTGACAAGGATATGGAGAAATAAGAACCCTTATACATTGATGGTGGGAATATAAATGGTGCAGCCACTGTGGAAAACAGGTTGGTGGGTCCTTAAAAAATTAAACATTGAATTACCACAAGACAGCAATTCAACTCCTAATTCTACTTCTAGGTATATACTCACAAGAGATGAAAACCTATGTTCACATAGAAACTTGTAAATGATTGTTTACAACAACATTATAGCCAAATAGCCAAGAGGTGAAAACAACCCAAATTCCCATTGGGTTGGGAATGGCTGGGCTCATCTCTAGAGTTTCGGAGTCAGCAGATTTGAGATGGGGCTTAAAATTTACATTTCTAACAAATTTCAAATGATGCTGATGATTCTGGTCCAGGTACCACCTTTGAGAACCACTGGAAATTGCAGTATATTCATACACTGCAATATTATTCAGCCACAAAAAGGAATGAAGTATTGATACATACTACAATATAGATGAGCCTCAAAAACATTATGTTAAGTGAAAGAAGCCAGATACAGAAGGTTACTTGTTGTATGATTCCTTTTATATTATATATCAAGTATAGGCAGCTCCAAAATTACTGCTTACCAGGGCCTGGAGAGAGTAATTACTTAATGGGTATGCGTGTTTCTCTAGGATGAAAAACATAACTCAATGAAAGACTGAAACCTAATCTCTAATTGTAGGGAGATGGATCAGTTCCCTCCCCCACATCTCAGCACCATATCAATAGCAATCCTATATGGTAACAGGGGAAGGCAACTAAAAGAACCCCACATTTCACATTCTATTTAAGAAGTCTCTAGGGAAACCCAGAGATAATAGGGGAGACAAAGACAAAGACACTAGAGAAAATTTTGCCTCTGACACCACAGCAAAGAGGAAACACAACCACAACCTCACTCCTAGCCAGATAAACATAAAGCCTCACACCAAAAGCCTACTTACCTCAGTTACTTTTACCTACTACATCATGTCCAGCTTTCAACAAAAAATTACAAGGTACACTAAAAGGCAAAAAACAGTTTGGAGAGACAAAGCCAGCATCAGAACCAAATTCAGCTATGGCAGAGATGTTGGAATTATCAGACTGAAATTTAAAACAATTATGAAAAATAAATCATTTTGACACATATTTCTATGTCCCCCTAAATATTTTTTCCCACTGATAATAAAAGCCCCAGGTTTCAGTGGAACACATCCCTCTCCCCAGCTAAGGATAGTATTTGCTAGCCTCCCTTGCAGCTAATTTTGGTCATGTGATTAAGTTCTGACCAAAGACACATGAGCAGAAGTAAAATGTACAATTTTCAGGATGTGTCTTTGAAAAGAACAGGTATTCCTTTCCCCTTCTTTGTCTCTTCCACTGGCTGGCAGGTAGGCTTGGTGCTAGGAGTTAGAACTACCAGTGGGATAGAAGCTGCGTGTTAAGTTTGACTGGGAAACAAAACTAAAGTAGCTTGAAAGTCCAACACAATGGAGGTGGTACACCAGGACTGCTTATACTTGGACTGTACCTAAGACAGAAATACTCTCCCATTCAGGCCACTGTAATTTTTAATCTTTGTTAGAGCAACTATACCAGCACCCTTTAACAATTATTAATCCTCTCCCAAATTTGGCCTATACCATCATATTAGCATGAAAATATTTTCAACAGAAAATAGACTTTCAAGTAAATACATGTTTTTGTTTCCATAAATATTACATTAAAAAATTTTCCCTCCAGGAGGTAAATAAGTAGATCAGAGAAAATGGTGTCAATTCTTTGTGGTAATGTGACTAATCCCTTACTCATCTTCAGAAAATAACTGCAATTAATTTACAATGTCCCTGAGGCTTTCCAAAAATGTTGGCTCACAAGAGATGTTCCTATCAGATGGTGCTTGCTGGCTAAGTCAGGCATCAGAACAAGAGATTTTTCAAAGCCAATCCCTCTTATTCCATTCTTCCTTTGAAGAATGTCCCTCTTCTTCTACAATATTGAGAAATATGCCTTTGTAGTTATACTACTGCTTTGGGAGTAGGCACCAAGAGAAATATGTGGTCAAAAGATAAGAATTATCAGACACAGGTCAGGATGGTGGCATAGGTAAACACAGTACTCACCTCCTCCCACAACCACATCAAAATTACAACTAAACTACAGAAAAATCATCATTCAGAGCTGCCTGAAATCGAGCTGAATGGAAGTTCGACAACTCTGAAATTAAAGAAGAGGCCACATTGAGATTAGTAGGAGGGGCGGAGGCATGGATGGGCTGGACCCACACCTACGTGTGGCGGATAAAAATAAGGAGGGACACCTTAGCTGCAAGAGTCCTCCCTGAGGACTGAGGGGTCCTCGTTCCATGCCAGCCCCCCAGCTCAGGGTTCCATGGCCAGGAAGAGAAGTCACCATAGCTTCTGGCTGTAAAAACCAATGGGAATTGAGGCTGAATAGAGTCCCAGACAGCTCCTCTTAAAGGGCCTGCACATGGACTTACTTGGACTCACTCCTTCCAGGCTCCAGCATAGACGAGGCAGCTTGAAAGGCACCAGAAGAGACACATGGGGAAGGACTGAGTTGTTTGGCATCAGGGCAAGAGCTGGAGAAGCAGCTTTCTCCCAGAGAAGATGTGCTGATGGAGGCCACTGTTCCTTTGCTGAGCGCTTCCCCCACAGGGCTGGCAGATGGGTGACATATCTGGGACTCTAGCAACCTGGCTCACACTGTTTGCCCCGCCCTGGTGATTCCCTGAGGCCCTGCCCCATCCAACTTTCAGGCCCACCCAAGCTGTTTCCAGTGTCTTTATCATAGAATTGTCCTGTCTAGGCTCCTGCTTTAGATTTTCCTAAATTCTCTCAAACAAGCAGCATCTGGCCTCAGTGAGCCCCATACCTCTCGTTAAGTGACCCCAGGCCTGGTACTAGAAGCAGCCAGCCTTGGTTCACAAGTTGGCTTTGCCTGGGCACCTCCAAGCCCAGTACAAGAAGCAGCCATCTGCAGATTGCTTTGTAGCTTATGTCTGGTTGCCCCGGGTAGAACACAGGAAGTGGCTGACCTTGCCCCAGAGCCAGCACACCCAGTGTACAGCCTCAGACCATGTAGAAGCACCACCACCCAACCACCTCCACAAGTAACACACTCAATGAGTGGACTCAGTGGATACCAGAGCCCTGATGAAGTAAGTCTTGCTCTGGGTGGGGGCCCCTACACAGCTGATCCTCCAAGGGAGTCAGAGGTCAGTGGTCAATGGGCACAGCCAGTTCTTGCAGCTGATCAGCCTCAGTAAATCCCCCCCATTGACATGCCAACAGCAATCAATACTCAATTACAACAGAAATGTATATAGTCCACACTAGGGATGCACCCAAAGGGCCCAGCTGGGGTGATCAGGGAGGCTGTGCCACTGGTCCCTATAGACACCTACTATAATAGGCCACCCTATGAAGCCTAGGAGACATAGCAACTCTACCTAATACACAGAAACAAACACAGGGAGGCAGCCAAAATGAATAGACAAAGAAATATGTCCCAAATGAAAGAACAGAATAAAAGTCCAGGAAAAAAAATGAACAAAACACAGATAAGCAATCTAACAGATGCAGAGTTCAAAACACTGCTTATAAGGATGCTCAAGAAACTTAGCGAGGACCTCAAGTGAATAAAAAAGGGCCGGTCAGAAATGAAGGATGCACTACTGAAATAAAGAATAATTTACAGGAAATCAATAGTAGAGTAGGTAAAGCCAAAAAGCAAACCAACAATTTGGAATATAAGGAAGCAAAAAACACCAAATTAGAATATCAAAAAGAAAAAAGAATCCAAAAATATGAGGATAGTGTAAGGAGCCTCTGGGACAAACTTCAAGTGTACCAACATCCACATCATGGGGGTGCCAGAAGGAGCAGAGAGAGCAAGAAATTGAAAACCTATTTGAAAAAATATTGACAGAAAACTTCCCTAACATGGTGAAGAAAACAGACATACAAGTCTGGGAAGCACAGAGAGTCCCAATTAAGATAAACCCAAAGAGGCCCACACCAAGACACATAATAAAAATGAGAAAAGGTTAAAGACAAAGAGAGAATCTTAAAGGTAACAAGAGAAAAGCAATTAGTTACCTACAAGGGATCTCCCATAAGACTGTCAGCAGATTTCTCAAAAAAAATTTTGCATACCAGAAGGGAGTGGCAAAAAAATATTCAAATATTTCAAGTGATGAAAAGCAAGAACCTACAATCAAGATTACTCTATCCTGCAAAGCTATCATTTAGAATTGATGGACATATAAAGAGTTTTCCAGACAAGAAAAAGCTAAAGGAGTTCATTACCACCAAAGCGTATTATATAAAATATTGAAGGGTCTTCTTGAAGAAGATAAAAAATATGAACAATAAAATGGCAATAACTATATAGCTATCATCTATTGAATCTATAAACAAAATGAACAAGCAGAACAGAAACAGACTCAGATACAGAGAACTTCTTGTTGGTTGCCAGAAGGGAAAAGGGTTGGGGGAATGGGTGAAGAGATTAAGAAGTACAAATTGGTTGTTAGACTGAAAAACCTCAAAGGGGAGGGTGGAGGGGATGGGAAGAGATAAACCAAAGAAATTATATGAATATATGCATAGCCAATGGACACAGACAATAGTGTAGGGAAGGCAGAATGAGGGTGGGAGGAGGTAGGAGGGGGTCAATAGTGGGAAAAGGGGGGCATCTGTAATGCATTCAACAATAAAGATAAGTTTTTAAAAAAGATAAGAATTATCAAGCACAGTATTAGCATATATATCACTTAGGATTCTAAGGAGCAAATAATTAAAAAGCCAAAACAACTTTTCACATAACTGTACTCCTCAGTGGTAGTTTGCCTCATAGCTCAACAACCTTATCAAGAGTGAAGATTTTGTTTTCTCGTCTGTCTTCTGTTTCCAGTGCTGTCAGCTTTATCCAACAACAAGATTCACGTCATGGTGGCAAATAGTCTGTAAATATTCCAGAATTTTTATCAGATCAAAAGAGCATCTTCCTAAGGAGGTCCCAGGAAATGGCTTCCCGGTCTTATTGGCTCATGTCTACCCTGCACTGTGGCCAGAGGATGCAAATGACACTTATTTATTTCCTTAGGCCTGACCCACACATTCCACCCCTAGAATTAAGAGTGGAATGAGCTTCCCTCACTGGCTACTTGGAGTGGGGAGAATGGTAAAAAACCAAGTGAAAAGCAGGTTGTTACCAAGAGAAGGGAGAATGGAAGTAGGTGTAAGCAAACATACTTCTTTTTATGGCCTATAATAAAGTGTTATTTTATTAAAAATCCTAAAATTTCACACCAATGATACTATTACAAAGCTTAGAAAGAACTAGCTCAAAGCTCAGTCATGGGAATAGCAAAGAAAATGTGAACAAGAGATTTGTTAGGACTGAAATGCGGGAATTTTTAAGGGTGTAGAAAAACTTCTTTGATGTTCTTCCATTGACAATGTGTTAGGCTGTGCAAGCAAAACTTGGACTCAGTATCTGAGATATGGCTCTACGGATGGGAATGGAATTGGGAAGGGAGTATTGGGTTTGCTCAAAGAGGAGAAGGCGGAGACTCAGAAGCACTTGGATCTTGATATCAAAAATAGCTCTGACCAGCATGGCTCAGTGGTAAGAGCATTGCCCTCGGACCAAAGAGTCTGGGATTTAATTCCGGCCAAGGGCGCGTACCTCAGTGGCAGTTTATCCCGGCCCTGGTTGGGGTTGTGCAGATGGTAACCAATTGATGTGTCTCTCTCATATCAATGTTTCTTTCTCTCTTCCTGCCTCTCTCCCTCCAGCTCTATCTGAAGGTTAATGTAGAAGTATCCTCAGGTGTCCTGGCCGGTTTGGCTCAGCAGTTGGAGCACCGGCTCGTGGACCAGAGAGTCTCAGGTGCAGTTTCTGCTAAGGGCACATACCTTGGTTGCGGTTTGTTCCCGGCCCCAGTTGGGGTCGTGTGGATGGCAACCAGTTGACATGTTTCTCTCACATCGATGTTTCTTTCTTTCTCTCCCCCTCTCCCTCTCCCTCCCCCTCCCCCTCTCCCTCTCCCTCCCCCTCCCCCTCCCTCTCCCCTCTCCTCTCTCTCCCTCCCGCTCTATCTGAAGATAAATGCAAAAATGTCCTCGGGTGAGGATAAAAAAAAAAGTATCCTCAGGTGAGGATAAAAAAAAAATCAGGCATCAGCAGACTATAGAGATCAGAGATGGGGAATGAGGAGGGAACAGTGTTGAAAGGGATTAAGAAAATTGTTTCCTCTTCTTACATCTGTGTGCATGGTCTGGGACATAGCTCTGTGCCTGTCTGAGAGCACGATGACAGAATCTGTGATGAAATAGTCAGTGTGCGCCCAAATCTCTTTATGCATCATGATTCCACATCAATGATTCTTTCTCCTTCTCCATCAATCTCTTGCTCAGAAAGTTCAAAGACTCCACCAGCTACAAGGTAAAGCACATAATCTTTAGTCTGCCGTTTAAATCTTTCCACCCTCCACTCTAACCAAACTACTGTATTACATGCAGTCCTCCAAACACCAGTGGTGTTGGTGGTGCATTCCCCTTATTTCACCCTGTCCATCAACCAGAGCCATTAGTAAAAGGCCATTTCAAGTCCCGCAGCCTGAGAGTTCTGCCATGTGCCAATCACAGTCTTGTCCTCCTATCAACTCAGACAGTGTACCCTTTCATTTATTTGACAGTTATTGTCAGTTAACTTTCCCTTCCAGGTTTATTAAGGTATAATTGACAAAATTGCATATATCTAAGGTGTGCAATGTGAGTTTGATGCATATATACACTGTGAGATGATCACCACAATCAAGCTAATTAACACATCCATCATCTCATATAGTTACCCTTTTGTGCATATGTGAGAACAATTAAGATCTGCTCTCTCAGCAAATTTCAAGTACACAAGACAGTCACCATGCTATAAATTAGATCTCCAGAACTTATTCAC